TTTTTGTAAATGTCAATAATAACAATTAAAGTTATAATATAAATAATAGCAGACAAAATTTTAAACCTTCAATATATGTCCGGCACTTCTATTTACCCCTTTTTGTGGTAACTATCTACATTTACCAAGGTAGTTGGTACGAGTGAGAAATCTTTGATTCAATTTAGACATTTCGTACATTTTCCAATTTCTGTTGGAGATTGTGCACAATTACCAGTTTACTTGGTAAATGTACGAAATTTTTAATTTAAAACAGACAATTCCCACTTTTACCAACTGCATTGGTAATTGTGCACATTAACCAGTAAATGTGCACATTTACCAACTTCGGGCTTTTACCGTAACATATATATTGACAGAATTCATCTCAAATAGGTATAAATTGAAAATACATCACAAATAAATTATTACAACCTACTTTTAAAAAGGTAAAATTTGTTTTATACTTTCTTATACTTTTTTTACCTAAATATTGTTTCAACATAATAATTATCGCTTCCCAGATAGCAAGTTGGTGCTAGATTGCCAAATAGTCTTGCTTTAAACCTAAAAAAAATTTAAGGTAAGGCAAGGTAAAAAAATTTAAGGTTATTTGGCAACCTTGCGTCAATCGTACCGACAATTTCCGACGGTAGTGTACACACAAGTGTAGTTCATTATTATTCCTCGAAGTGACAAGAACATATGCTTAAATAAATAATTCACTGGAATTAATATTAATATTTCAATAATTCCGTGAAAAATATAACTATTCTTTTATAATTTATTTTAAAAAATTGATAAATATTGAAATATCAATAGATATTAATTTAAATTTGAACATTTAAATTGTCAGGGCTAATTTATAAGAATTGATTGACTGTATTATCTATAATTGTATACATCTGTTACAAATATTTATATTTCTATAGTTCTCTGAAAAATTATAATGAAATATAACTATTCTATGAACTGTAATAGAATAGGGTTAAACCTTTATGTTTCGACTAAGGTCGTTGCGCACAATTTTTAAAAAATTTGATATACCATCAAAAATGAATCTGTAAGCTAACTGGAGTGCAAAATAAAAAGAATTATGTTAAAATTTCTAATAGAGGTCATCCACATATCACATGATATCTTTAGGAGTGGGAGAGGGTATGCAAACTATCATGGTCCATAGAATTTTCATTTTTTAACAATAGAAAAAGTATCACGCAGGGGTGAAAGGGGGTTCAAAATACCTAAAATATGTATCACGTGAAAGGGGGGTTTGAACACCTAAACCCCCCCCCAGATAACAAAATGCTTGAATAGTGCAAACATAAGGAGTCGCATATGTGCTAATTAATTCACACTTAGTGATCTCATAGTTGCATGCTGATGCGTCATTCATGGATGATCCTATGCGTCTCTTACTTGAGTTCGCATTCAAGCGAGTTAAATGCAATCCTTGTACTAGTACATTCGAGGTTAGAAACATCAATTGATCATTTAATACTTGTTGTACAATACAATAAATATTATATTTCTGTTAACATTTTTTACTACTCTAGTTTTTTATTAAAGTGAAGAGACATATTTATATTTTTCTTCTTCTAAGCAAGCTTGCAGCAATCATTCTTAGTATGCTTGCAGCAACCTTTCCTGGAAAGCTTACAGCAAGCTTTCACGGCAAGCTTGCCCTGGGTAAGACATTTCGCTAGCTCAGACAAGCTTGCACGGTGAAATTGCCGCAAGCTTGCTGCAAGTTTCCGTGCTATCTGGGCGCATGTTTTAAGCTATTTAAATTAAATAATTTTTATTGTAATTCGCATACTGTGTGAGTTCATTGAAGGCGCATTTCAAATGCATTGTAGGAGATCGCATACGTGAAGGCATAAAGAGAACTTCTTGCTAGCATGAATGCGACTGCAAGCACATGGGTCGCATCAGCATACTGCTTTTGCATGCACCATAGGAGAATCACTAAGTGCGATCTCAAATGCGCGCGTTATTGTTATCCTCGCTACGCTCCTGATAATTTAATTAAAATTTTAAAAAGTGCTAAGAAATTTTGAATCTTCATGTCAATTACCTCATGATTGATAAGTTAAAATTTATTTTAATAACTCTACATTTTAGAATTAATTGATAAAAATCGCGAAATTTGGTTAATTGACATTCGAACTTTAAAAATATATTTCTCTATTATATTTAATCTTCAATAAATTATGATCTATCAAAAATAATTAATTTAATCATTCTAAACAAAAGCTAATAATTTTTCTAATAATGTAGGGTATTACAAAAGATGCGAAAAGAAAAATAAACAACAAAACAGAGGTGTCGACTATCGGCGACTCAAGCGGTTTAACGTAATTTCAGTAGGAAAAGAAAAAAAAATTAATTTCTACACTTTCGAAGACCAATAAAGTACAATATTTTGTAACGAATGAAGATATTTTCGATGTAATTCATGATGCTCATGTGCAAAGCACAAAAGCTGTCCTGCAATTTCAAATGTCATGGGAGTGGTCCTTGTCTATAAACAAATAACAATTTTTTGTTTTTCGATAATTTTATTTTTTATATTAAATAACAAGTTTCTACTGATATAAAAGAGATGCTGTTTTTATTAGAAATGGAAAAAATAAATAATACTTAATTAAAATACTTTGTCAATATCAATGACAATGATAACAATAATAGCAAAAAACGTTTAACAAAATATCAACATTTACCAACTAACGCTGATCAATGTGCACATTTACCAATTTTACATGGTAAATGTACGAAATTTTTTTATTGAATCAAAGATTTCGTACTTTTACCAACGACATTGGTGAATGTCACCAATGTGCACATTCACCGATTAGGGGAGAGTGGGGCAAAACCGTGTAGGCGGGTCAAACCGGGTATATTTAAATGCATTATACTATACATGGGTCAGACCATTATATTTCGACCAAAGTCGTTGCGGCCTAATTTTAAAAAAAATTGATACTTGCAGTTCTGATTCTTTATGATATGCAGAGAACGAAATAAAAAGAATTATTACAAAAATTTCTTTATTTTTCTCAAAATATGAGTTTAAAGTGGAGAAGGTCCGGAAAACTGGCACTTTTTTAGCAATTATAAAATATATAAAAAAACATATAATAATTGTTAAAAAGGTAAAAAGAATTATTGTTTCTTGTTTAAAATGAATTGATTTATTATTTTCTAATGATTAAATTAGTGAAAAAATTAAAATAATGGATAAAATATGTCTTTAAAGTTAGTCTGTCAAATAACCTAATTTTTCGATTTTTATCAGTTAATTACAATTAAGTGGAATTATTAAATTAAATTTGAACTTACCTAATATGAAGTAAATGGATAGGACATTCAAATTTTCTTGGCACTTTCTATATTTTCATACTAAATATAAAAGAAATATTGAGTTGAAAGTTCGCAATTTCTGCATTTTTCCGAACTTTGCAACTGAATATCTCCGTTAAAGAAAAATAAAAAAAAATTGGCACTTGCACAGCAGCTAAATCGGATCGAAATCTACGCGCACCATAAATTCCGTTTTGGTCCCGAAACTATTCAGCTTTATTAATAATATTAGCAGATTATTATAGTTAATTATCGATTGCACTGAGAATTATTTTCTAATTCTGAAAAATACTTTAATTTTCGCCGTTATATCAATTTCAAAATCTAAACATTGAACGCGATCGCTGAGAGTAGACCAACTTCAAGTTAGAAGCAAGTACAGATTTAACCTGAAAATAATGTGCAATTTTTAATCGCCTATATCTCCTAAAATAGTTTCGGGACCAAAACGGAATTTATGGTGCGCGTAGATTTCGATCCGATTTAGCTGCTGTGCAAGTGCCAATTTTTTTTTATTTTTCTTTAACGGAGATATTCAGTTGTAAAGTTCGCAAAAATGCAGAAAATGCGAACTTTTGACTCAATATTTCTTTTATATTTAGTATGAAAATATAAAAAGTGCCAAGAAAATTTGAATGTCCTATCCATATACTTCATATTAGGTAAGTTCAAATTTAATTTAATAATTCCACTTAATTGTAATTAACTGATAAAAATCGAAAAATTAGGTTATTTGACAGACTAACTTTAAAGACATATTTTATCCATTATTTTAATTTTTTCACTAATTTAATCATTAGAAAATAATAAATCAATTCATTCTAAACAAGAAACAATCATTCTTTTTACCTTTTTAACAATTATTATATGTTTTTTTATATATTTTATAATTGCTAAAAAAGTGCCAGTTTTCCGGACCTTCTCCACTTTAAACTCATATTTTGAGAAAAATAAAGAAATTTTTGGAATAATTCTTTTTATTTCGTTCTCTGCATATCATAAAGAATCAGTACTGCAAGTATCAATTTTTTTTAAAATTAGGCCGCAACGACTTTGGTCGAAATATAATGGTCTGACCCACATATTTAAATTTTATTTCAAAATAATCGACATGTATGTTTCGAAATCGATGTTTAACTTTCGATATATCAATTATTTACCATATCGATAAATAAACGATAAAAAATTAATAAAAATAGGAAAAATTTCGTTTTAAAAGATTTAACTACTGTTATTCATTATTAATATAATATATTTAGATTAAATATTATTGAATATTGATTATTTTCTATAATGTAAGTGATATATAATAACAATTGAACAAAAAATTAAAGAATATTCCATGATTTATATATTTTCTTGATAGTACCCGGTTTTGCCCCATTATCGGGGCAAAACCGGGTACTTTGCATTTTTCTGAAAAACCTAGTTTAAATTGATCAAAAAATTTTTTTTCATGCAATCGACTTTATTTTCTCATATCTAATATTCAGGGAAGAATTTTCAACGAGATTTGAACTAATTTAGTTGATAGATTCTTTGTAAACCGAGAATTCCAAAAAGGTACCCGGTTTATCAATTTTTTTTAATAAATTATAATAGAATAGTTATATTTTTCACGGAATTATTGAAATATTAATATTAATTCCAGTGAATTATTTATTTAAGCATATGTTCTTGTCAGTTCGGGGAATAATAATGCGAACTACACTTGTGTGTATATATTGACAGAATTCATCTCAAATAGGTATAAATTGAAAATACATCACAAATAAATTATTACAACCTACTTTTAAAAAGGTAAAATTTGTTTTATACTTTCTTATACTTTTTTTACCTAAATATTGTTTCAACATAATAATTATCGCTTCCCAGATAGCAAGTTGGTGCAAGATTGACTAATAGTCTTGCTTTAAACCTAAAAAAATTTTGTTAAAAAAATGTTTCGTTCAATTGATATAATAAAATTATATAAATTAGACGAAATATTAAAAAAAAAATTTTGCATGTTCAAAGTAAGGTTATTTGGCAACATTGCACCAACTTTGCTACAAGCTTAATGTGCAAGCTTACTGAGCAATCTTACTGATTCAAATAGCTAGAATTTAGAGACTGATTTGAGACCAGTGACTTTTTCACTGATTCATATTTAGAGAGTAGGCAACATTTAAAATTTTTTTCTAAACCTAGTTACGAATTATTTAAAATAACAATATTATTAAAATATTAAATATTTAATTATTATTATAATATTATATTATATTAAAATTTGATTTGGTTCTGTGGGAAATATTATCTCGTAGAATATTACTTTCGTGGAAAAAAAATACGAATGATTATTTTGCAGAAAAAAGATTAGAAAGAATATTAATTTTGCACAAAGTGAGATTCGATCAAATTTAATTTCTGTCAAATTAATTTTCGTCTAAATATTTATAAAACATTTATATTTGATTTAATGAAAATTCTGCAAAATTAATATTTTAACAATTTAATGTTCTATACAAAAGTAATATTCTACAGAATAAGATTTCATTAAATCATAATTCTAAAAAATTTGTTTAAGTGCTTTTACAATAAAATGCGTCCCACTTATCAAACTAAATTTTATTAATTTTTTATATTTAAAGTTGATATATAATATTTTTTTATTATTGTTCGACAAACAGATATTTTTCAAGTATTCATTTTTTTACAAGTGCCTCTTTATTGCTTTAAAATTTTATAATTATTTTTTTTAACCCTTAAACTGTAAGGTGGTTTTTGATCTACGTTGATTGTAAACATGGGTCACTCGTGTCCCACTCTTTAAAAAGTGCTTTAAAAAATCGGAATATTACATTAACTATCCTAGAATAAGGACAAATCATTATATTGCTGAAATGTTCATTTGTTTAAGTAATATATTTGTATAAACAAACAAAAACACGAAGATTGAGATATTGATCATGCTAATTGATATATAAGACAGTTAAATTTTAATCGCATGAATTTTACATTGAAAATATTATTTTATTTTTCTTGGTATTGTTGATTTTTTTATATTTATTTTTATTCATATTTGTTTCTATCTCTAAATTTCAAATTTATGTTTCTTTAAAATAACATTTTACAATAGTAAAATTTATAATTTTTTAGCTTAATATTTTACAAAACTATTCGAATTAACTTCCGTCAGAAATTTTTAGTCGCTAATTTTAAAATTATCCAATCAGAAATCACGCAAAAAAATTGTATTTATTAATTTTAAAATTTACATCGAATAATGTTTTGCATAGACTATAAAAAATTTATTTTAATAAAATCTATAACTTTTGTCAGAAAGTTTTTTTTAAAACGTCAAAAATTTTCATAAAAAAATGTATAAAATAAAAATTCCACAACAAACTAGGCAACATTTAAAATTTTTATTCTAAACCTACACTGAAAAAAAAATTCTGGTTAGGCTATATTTAACATTAATTTCTAATTATGTTAACCAGAATTCTAGTTGAATGAACTAGAATTCTCGTTAAAATAACCAGAATTCTGGTTAACCTAACCAGAATCAAAATGTTAAATATACCCTAACCAGAATTCTGGTTATTCTAACTAGAATTTTTTTTCAGTGTAGTTACGAATTATTTAAAATAACAATATTATTAAAATATTTATTAATTAAAATGACGCAATAATTGATACAATTTTTCAGATTCTAATCATGGCTGTATCAAAGAATGTAATTCTTTTGGAAATTATTTTTCTTATTACGTTGTGCTCCTGCAGCAATAATTCTACATTAAATGAGGAACAAAACTCGAGGAATGAAGAAATTGCACGTCTCACTGCTTTAGGAATGGTGGAGGCAGAATTGTTTTACGACTTAATGCACACGGAAAATTTTTCTAAAAATTGTTCAAATAGATTAGAGAAAATGAACAGTACTCATAAAGGGGTGTTCAATGCTTTAAATGGACTATTCCTAATAGGTCATACAAGGAAAACAGGTCAAGAACTTTTTAACATACTTTATGAAGAAGTAACTGCTAAATATGAACGCAATAATCTGTCAGCTGTAATAAGTTTTGAAGATTGCTTTTCAATTATGCATTACACTAGTCATGGCTTTGAACGAATAATGGCTGAAACGGATGAAGGTAGACAAATGAGGAATGCTTTTTACAGATTAGCAATTGTACAATCTAAAGATCCAAATAAATATCATAATTCTATATTGTATCGAGGACAAAGCGAACTTGATACGTGGTATGAAAAACGTTATGTTAAAAATACAACGGAACGATTGAAAAGATTTACTTCAACATCACTAGATGATTACGTAGCAGCTAAATACGCACAAGAGAGAGATAATAATACTGACATGACTTCAACACTTTACGAGATGCATTTTCCAAGCCCATTTTTGAGTGCAAATATTGACAATATAACATACTTCTCTTATGAAAAAGAAACAGTTCTGCTTCCAGATACGAAATTATTTGTTAACAATAGGACAATATTCGAAAAAAAAACATTTTTCGCCTATGGTGATCCTGATGCTATTGATTTAAGAATAATTGTAACTCATGATGATGAAAACTTGAGTATATTTGAGCAACAGAAACGGGTAATGATAAAATTGAAAGAACTAAAAGATTCTGGTACAAAATTTTATGTGGATTGTTAAGTATCTTTCTTTATATTTTCATAATAGAAAGAGGGCGATAAAATCGAAAATTTTCATTTTTAACTCACTATTAGAAATTACATTGACTTTTTATTTACGTTGTAATCGAAAAGAATATTTTTTTATTTCATTTTCCTTTAAAGAATGTTTAAAATGTAAAAAAATAAAATTACATTAAAGTCCTTTGTATTTTCGGTTGGTTTGTATTTTGTTTGGTTTTGTGGGAAATATTTTCTCGTAGAATATTACTTTTGGAGAAAAAATATTAGAACGATTATATTTTGCAGAAAAAATATTAGAAAGAATATTCATTTTGCACAAAGTGAGATTCAATCAAATTTAATTTTTGGCAAATTAATTTTCATCTAAATAAAATGTATGCAACATTATAATCGATTTAATTAAATTTCTGCAAAATTAATATTTAAAAAATTTAATATTTTTCAAAGTAATAATAATAATAAATTTTTTGTATTCAGAGTTGTTAAATGATAATTTTTTATTATTGTTCGACAAATCGATTTTCTTTCAAGCATTCAGTTATTTACAATTGCCTCTTTATTGCTTTAAGATTTTTAACATTTATTAAATTTTATTAAAAATATTACTATTTTTGGATTAAAAAAATTGTTCTAATATTTTAGTATTTAATTTATAGAAACTTTATTTTTATTAAAACTTGTAAAATCTTGTTTATAAAAATGAGTGCTAATAAGAAATATATATTTTTCATTTGTTAAATTAAATGTTAATAAAATTGTTAAACAAATAAAAATTATAAATAGTGAAACTTTTATCATTACTTTTATTTATTTTACATTTCGACTTCATGAATTTGAATTTCAGTTGTCATTTAAACTTATTATAAAATTCAACTTTTGAATTCATAATTTCAAAACTTACGAAATATTTTTAAAGACGCGTTTCAAATTATTTAATTCTTTGAAAAAACATATTAAGACTCAAGATGCAAAAGCGAACAATGACATTATCAACCAGCATTCGGATAATCCAATTTTTCATAATAATGACGATCTAGATTTTCAAAATAATATACCGAGAGACATTGTAGAAGAATTTAATTTAAAATTAATATTCAGTGAAATTAATTTTTTAAATAATAAGTTGATTATTGTAGAGAAACTCAGTCAAATAAAAATTCGTCACCTAAAAAATCTGTTAAGTAAAAATTAGTTTCTTACAAATCAACTTCTCTATCAAAGTTTCTAAAAGGTTCTATTAAATTTTTAGAAAATTATATAAAGTTTTTAAAAATTTCTATATGAAATTTCCAGTTATTTTACAAAAAATTTTCAGAACGTTCCAATAAGTTTTTAGAAAGTTTCATAAAATTTTGTAGATATTTAAATTAAATTTAATTTAGAGATGAATAAGTAGATTAAAAAATTTTTAGAATAAAATTAAAAATAATTTTCAAAAAAAAAGGTGTATATTAGAAATAATTCCTCCTATAGGTAATAAAACCACTAAGAGTTAATCTGATCAACTCTATAAGCGACATTATAGATATATATACTTAATATTGTATTTCGGAATATTTGAAAATATTTTTTTCAAACAGAAACAAATGATTGAATATTTTATAAAAAAAAAAAAAAAAAAAAAAAGCATGAAATAGTCATTGATAAGGAGAAGTGCGTACCTCGTTGATTGGCTGTCCAAGGGTGATTGGGGTGGCAGAATGACCTCTGAACCCACCCCCATGGGGCGCGCGCACGCCTTCAACCCCAAGGAAGTAATTACTGAGCCACCCCCCGCTCGATAACGCACGCTATCGCACATATATCGTTCATATATATACATGCGTGTGCAACTATATAATGGCAACTCAACGATCCACCTACATTCGAGTTACTTTTTTCTTTCTCTACAAAAGACTCGTGTTTCCCATCTCCTCATTCAACAGAACAATTAGGGAGAGACCAAAATTATCTTTTCCACAATTTTCAACAAAAGAATCTGATGATCATATTCACGCATACTAAAAACTTACCATATGGTTTTATGTAATTTTACTTTACCCGCACCTCTTTACCTCATTCAAATGGAGACAGATAACACAAATACTTAACATTTTCAAAAATGGAAAATCATATATTATACTGAGAGGAGAAAAATGGGTATACAGAAATGGGGTTGATGTGATTTTTATAAGAATTACTGGGTGTTAAGTTATAAGTATAAGGAATTTCTGAGAGAGGATTTAAAATTTGTCTTTTGAGATTTATAAACGCGTTACGTTACAAGACACACCCCTTGCTTTTAGAATAGATGGCGTATATATCTCTGTGGTCGTGGATTTAAGAGAGGTTGCCTCTGTTATCCTTAATGCGATTTCACTCCGATTGCAATTCACAATGGATTTAACGTTTGTCGAAAGCTCGATTCTCATTTATAATTCACGCGTGAATTCCACCCGAGTTGATACAAATCTACTAGGATCAATTTCTTAGTAAGCATATACATATATATATATATAACCAAAGTCGGCGTATTTATACATTTATTCGACAATTTCGTGACTAATCGACGAAGAAAATTCATCAATTTAAAGAAATTTTAAATTCTTTAAAATTAAATAATAAGTAAATTATTACTAATTCAATTACTACATTTATTAATGATATAATATATTGATAATAAATGTATTAATAAAAATTAATAGGGTCAGTTGGGGTAAATCGGGACAGGGGGTAAATGGGGACAAGAGGTTTTGGAGATCAGATCACCTGCAAGAGGTTTTGAGTATTGCCAAGCTTTTATCTTGACAATTGGCAGCAAGATAATTCAAGTTAACGCTCAATGCATAAAAACTTGCAAATCAAAGTCAAACTGTTTCAGTATTTTGTCGAGCATTTCAAAGAAAACAGACTTAAAAATCAAACCAAATTTTTTTCTTATTCCTTAAGACTCCCATAATAGAAATTCACTTGAATTTTTGACTTTTGTCAATTTAGTTAATAATAACAAGCTGTCTCCATTTACCCTGAGTTTTCAAATATTTGGGGTAAATGGGGACAGCTTGTCATTATTAACCAAATTGACAAAAATCAAATATTCAAGTGAATTTCTGTTATAGGAGTCATAAGGAATAAGAAAAAAATTTGGTGTGATTTTTACGTCTACTGTTTTTTTTCAAATGCGAGACAAAATACTGAAATAAAAAATAAATAAAAAAATTTCAACTATTATATATATATATCTACTACAAACTTTTTTTTCAAGTTTTTTCATCCCTTAATACAGTAATATACTTAAGGAAACTTTTTTCTTAAAACTTTCTTAGAAACTAAGCTGTCCCCATTTACCCCAAATTTTATGAAATTTTCTAAATTTTGTAGTAAATGGGGACAGTCAGTTTCATGCGTTTAAAGCTTAATCTAAATTTTTTTCTTTTAAAGGAAGAAACTTACGTAATTTGTGAAAAATAACGATTTTGTCCCCATTTACCCCAACTGACCCTATATACCTATTTATTAATTATATTAATTAACAATTTTTAATTATTAATAATAAGATTTTAATTGTTTTCTTTTCATTATAAGAATACCCTTATGAAAATTCGCTTATAAGAAAATAATGTTAAAGCTGAAATATTTTCAGTATAATGTTTTTTGTATAATATTTTCGCGATTATAGGTAATTTATTATAAGAAATTCATTATAAAATTTTTTTTCTCAAATAATTATAAAAATATAATTATTAGAGACTCTGTAATGAAATCATTACAATTTTATAATTATGAAAATGTAATTATAGAAAATAAAATTTTTCACGTGCAAAAATTAAAATATCATAAAATTAAAATTATAAAAATTTAATTACAGAAATTAATTAATTTTGTATTTTACTGATAACTATATATAGTTATCAGTAAAATACAAAATTACAAAACTATATACAGTTATCAGTAAAATACAAAATTAATTAATTTCTGTAATTAAATTTTTTATAATTTTATAATATTTTCATTTTTGCACGTGAAAAATTTTATTTTCTATAATTACATTTTCATAATTATAAAATTGTAATGATTTCATTACAGAGTCTCTAATAATTATATTTTTATAATTATATGAGAAAAAAAATTTCATAATGAATTTCTTATAATAAATTACCTATAATCGCGAAAATATTATACAAAAAACATTATACTGAAAACATTTCACCTTTAACATTATTTTCTTATAAGCGAATTTTCATAAGGGAATAAATTAACAATTTCAATTAAATAACAAAAACAAGTATTAACCAAAAATCTTCAAAACAACCCTAAGTAGCAAAAAAAAAAAAAAAACCATTAAAAAATTGAAAAAAAATTTTGGATTTAAAAAAAATGTTTTTGAGTAACTTTTTAAAAAAAAGAATAATTTTATAGGTATATATAGTATACAAAAATTCGAAAAAATTGCAAAATAACCCTTTATTTAGGGTTAAAATTGCAAAAACATGTAAAAACGGTAAAATATGTAAAATTTTCTAAAAGCATATGACAAAGGATTTTGATTTATTTGAAAATAAGTGAAAATAAATTTTCCAAGGCCGCTGTCGAGGTCGTTATTGCTATTGTAAATTTGTTAACCTAATACAATATAGAAGATTAATTTAAAATTCGATGAATTAAAATAATAATTAGTTAATTGAATGTCTTTTTAGTAAAATTTTAATTTTACAATTTTAATTTTTCAACTATTAAAAAAGAAAAAATTTTCTCATGATTCTTAAATAGTCGTGTCACACGTGATAACGAGCTGACTCCATCTTAATTTAAAGGTAAATCACACGACCTCGTCGCGACGAAGGAGGACTTTCGCTGACAAAGTGTGAGGAGGCTCGCGCACGGGGTCACGCCACTAGGTGCTCATTGGCAGTCAACCTTCAAGCAAAGATTGCTATTGGTTGAGGGTCGAGGGTCGACTCACCTACCCCTAACCTTTCATGACCTTCCACGCAAACTCGCGAGGTAACCACCCTTCTTTTATCTCGCTCTGCATCTAAAATAAGATAATCACACTTTTTCTTTAATATAAAAGGAGGATGTTATTTTTTAAATTTTGTTTTACACTAAAAAAAAAACTAAATTCATAATATTGTTTTTACCGACAAGTAATTTCAAGAATAACATATATTAAAGTAGATTTTATATTTCCTTTTTCAAAATTCTTATCATATGGCTAATAAAAAAATTTTCTTAACTGAGTTTCCCTTCTATGTTCTGTCGATAAGGTTGGGAGAATTAAGCGCGCGAAATTTAAATCCAAAACAGTGTGTTTTTGGAAAATTATTACCTCAATAATTCAATTGATCCTTTTTGATAAAATGCGAAGTCTACCCTCGCAATTTTATTTATCGGATCCTTTTTTTTTTTTTTTTTTTTTATTTTACTCTCTCACATCGCGACCATTTATCTCTCGATGTGCACTTCATTGGCGATCTTTGCGCGCTCATCATTTATAAAACCAACGAGATTCTTATCCACACACTTGACCATATAATATACTTTTTCTTCGTGTCGAGTTTCAGCAAAAATTCAGGTCGTTGACCATAGTAATATTTTTATGGTTCTCTGATAAGAAGAAATTGTGCGCCATTTTGGTGAATAGTTTTCAAGGGGCTTTTTTATATCCATATATACTATATCCGTTCTGTCAATAAACGGGCCTAAGCTTATATATGAAAGGGAAATTCCCGAGGGTCGCTTCCTTTGAGAGTTCCTCTTTTTTTTTTTTTTTTTTGATAAAGCAATATATCCGCGCTCACAGACAAGAACGACGATTTATAATATGCTCTTTATAAATTTAACTATATCATTATTGGACTTTCATTAAAAATTTTAATTAGAAGACAAGTATATTGAAAAAAAAACCGCAAATTTGAATCATGAAAATACCACTTTAGAAAAATATATAATTTTTACAAATTTACTAAAATTTAATTTAAAAAAGAATAGTCATAGTAATTTTAACCTTTTTTAATTTCACGAATGTTTATTGTATATTTTATTTCATTTAAGGAAAAAATATTAATGAATGACAATCTATATAATAGCGATATTATCTGTATAATATTAGTGTCTCTTATTGTTTGGAGGGGAATGCTCGTAATGCAATTACAGTAACACGATTACAGACGCATGCTTGGCCTGCTTTTCGTCACAAGAACACACAAACATTTCTGGGACAGATTTCCTGATAAACAAAGCAATTGTGTGTGTGTGTGCTAATGACAAAAACAATTATCTTAAATTAAAAAAGAAATAATAAATTATTTCTAAACTTGTCATTTCATTATTAAATATAAAATCAATCGACATAATATTAGTAAATTATTAAACTATAAAAAGGCTCAAAATAAAAATTCATAAAATATAAAATCTATCAGTGACAATAGTTTATTATTAAAAAATATAAATGTGATACATATAAGATTAAACATATAATCTATATTCAAAGTGCAAAAATTTATAAAAAACCACACAATTCAATCCTAATTTCTTAATAAAATACAAATTGTTCGAAAAACAATTTTTCGTATACGTATATCTATATTTAAATTAGAAAAGAAAGTTGAAAATTCTCAATGAATTCAGTTTATGGAAGATATTTAAATGTGAATAATTTAAAAGTATATACTATATAGTAATAGAAAAGAAATTGATCGTCTAAAAGTGTATAAAAATCGTATTATCCATTTATCAAAGGATAATAATAAGTTACATATATATATATATAGTAAATAATTATAATTCCATTCTAGTACTAGACGCTTGTTTATATTGATCATTTAAATAATTGAAAAGTGACTCTATGCAAGACCATGACGTCATTTCGTGAACACTGTGCCCTGTAAAAAAAACAGTTAATTTCTCTTTTATTTCTAAAAAAAAAAAATGTGAATAATTTCCTATATAGTTAAATTTATACCTGACGAAACTCGTACAATATCTCCACTTAAAGATAGTTCAGGTGTATCCAATGGTTTTTCCGAAGAAACCCAATTTTTAGCAATCTGTGAAAAAATGTTTGCCTTATTGATGGGGAAAAAAAAGTTTCAAACAAAACTATTAAATTCATATATATACATATATTGTGACGTTATTTTTTGTAATTGGCGTCACAATGACACCAACCCGTGTGGAAAAGTCGACTGGGTCCTAATCTGGGCCAAACTGGGTTTCCCAATGTCCAAAGTGGGCAACCCAGACAACGCCCAAACTGGGCGCGTAACGCTGATCCCAAAGATTTCCCAAGGTTGGGAAATCCCAGCTGGGGCCAGATTAAGTTATTCCATTTTTATTTATAATTGTTAATTGATAATTATATAAATAATTTAACAACAAAAGAGTAAATTAAATGAATAAATATAATTTCCTTTTAAATAAATGTTCCTTTTTTTAAATTAAATTGTATTAAATATGACGACTAACAAACAATGTATATAGTAAAAAAAGTAAAAAAAATATAAGGGTCAGACCATTATATTTCGACTAAAGTCGTTGCGGCCTAATTTTAAAAAAAATTGTCACTTGCACAGCAGCTAAATCGGATCGAAATCTACGCGCACCATAAATTCCGTTTTGGTCCCGAAACTATTCAGCTTTATTAATAATATTAGCAGATTATTATAGTTAATTATCGATTGCACTGCGAATTATTTTTTAATTCTGAAAAATATTTTAATTTTCGTCGTTATATCAATTTCAAAATCTAAACATTGAACACGATCGCTGAGAGTAGACCAACTTCAAGTTAGAAGCAAGTACAGTTTTAACCTGAAAATAATGTGCAATTTTTAATCGCCTATATCTCCTAAAATAGTTTCGGGACCAAAACGGAATTTATGGTGCGCGTAGATTTCGATCCGATTTAGCTGCTGTGCAAGTGCCAATTTTTTTTTTATTTTTCTTTAACGGAGATATTCAGTTGCAAATTTCGGAAAAATGCAGTAATTGCGAACTTTCAACTCAATATTTCTTTTATATTTAGTATGAAAATATAGAAAGTGCCAAGAAAATTTGAATGTCCTATCCATATACTTCATATTAGGTAAGTTCAAATTTAATTTAATAATTCCACTTAATTGTAATTAACTGATAAAAATCGAAAAATTAGGTTATTTGACAAACTAACTTTAAAGACATATTTTATCCATTATTTTAATTTTTTCACTAATTTAATCATTAGAAAATAATAAATCAATTCATTCTAAACAAGAAACAATCATTCTTTTTACCTTTTTAACAATTATTATATGTGTTTTTATATATTTTATAATTGCTAAAAAAGTGACAGTTTTCCGGACCTTCTTCACTTTAAACTCATATTTTGAGAAAAATAAAGAAATTTTTGTAATAATTCTTTTTATTTCGTTCTCTGCATATCATAAAGAATCAGAACTGCAAGTATCAATTTTTTTTAAAATTAGGCCGCAACGACTTTGGTCGAAATATAATGGTCTGACCCATAAAATTCATAAGGATTTCCCACGATGAAGAAATGAAGCAATTTAAAGAAGTATCTAAATGGCTAACAAATTTTTCAAGTGTAACACATTAATAGTTTCTATTAGACATTGTCTAAAATGTGAAAAAAATTTAATTTAAAAAATTCTAAAGATATAAACTCAGAAATAGAATTTTTGTTCTCACGCAAGGGTTCACTAAAAAAATGTATAGGGCATTTTTTGTGAGTTAAAGAGTTTTTCAAAAAATGAAAATTTAAATTAATTTAATTAAAAAATAATTATTTTGATTTAAAATATTTTTCAATTTTTAAATTTAGGCTGGTAAAGAATATCCTAATTTTAAATCTCATGCAATTATTATTTTTAATTCTTGCAATAATGCAATAAGATTAATTTTCTTAATTTTTATTTATTAAATTAAATTAAAAACATGTTTGTTTTCCTTTATAAATTATTTTAACATTAAACTAGATAATTTATTTTTAAAGTTGTTATTTATTAAATTAATAGGTTATTTGCAATATTAAAGTATAATTTATTTCGTCACTAGTTAATTATTTTATTTGAAACTAACAGTTGTCAAACATGAAGTTAGAGAATTGATTCCACCTTCATGTTGTATTTGTTTGCTACGTAGATAAAATATTTTAGGAAATTGACATGAATTCTATGTCTAATCCTTGTATTTTGAATTTCGCTATGAATAACGATTTAATGTTTACCACATTTTGAGAATTTTCTATATACTTGACACAAGTCCAATTGAAATACTGGAGTTCTATTTTTAAGGAATTTTGCATTAATTTAGTTTAAGTTAGTTTTAGATTGGCAGGCTTTGTTTAATTAACAAAGATGCTATTTATTTCGGTTATTAACAGGTTCCAACGTTTAAGTTATCGCGAGCTTGACATTGGAATAGTCGTTTAGATTGTATTAGTAATTCAGAATTCTAGGAGAATTAAGGTAGGAAAATATTTCTGATTGGTTAAAATTGAAGAAAATCGTTTAGTCATCTAGTGCCAATTTTAGTATGAATTAAAAATTTAGTTTCCACTCTCTCTCACTCTCTTGCCATCCAGCCCTCATCGAGTTAACAAGTTTAGTTTTCAAGTATGTGTTTCAAGTTACAGTTTGTGGTTACAGCCATATTAATAAAATCTAATTTATATCCAATTACAATATTATTTAGTTCAATTATTATAAATTCAGTTTAATTTAAAGTTCAAAACAGTTTATAATAACTCTTTTTTCCATGATGAGTCCATTCATCGATGCAGAGCATAACTGCGTCAGTCATTTTTAATAATTATCAATAATAATGTTTCACCTTCTTGCTACTGTTAATAATAACGGAATAAAGTCAATTTACAGTTTATAAAGAAAATATTATAATATCACTTGTTTATTCTATTGAAAATATAATATTCTTTTATTGTTAATTTATTGTTCACGAATTATTTATTGTTACCATGAACTGGTATGTGCAAAAGACTTAATTAATAATTCATATTGGTCGATCTTAATTAGTATTTTGATTAGTTATAAGTTTTGAGATGTAAGATTTGAGATTTAGATTATAGTTTAGTCCGGTTGACAATATATACAGGCGATACAAAAGTTGTCTAGCGCCCTTTCATACATAGGGGATCGATCAGAAGAATAAAAAGTTAAGTCGAATCGTAACGTTCTGCTTATTTTTGGTATTTGATTTTTTTTAAGATTTCAATTAACGTAAAATTAAGTTCTAAATATCGAGCCATTTTGTATTGAATTTGAGATCCAATTTAGTCAAATTTTAGTGATTTTAGTAATTTAGAATTTATTTAGAAAATACTGTATCATAAAATTGTAATTTATATTATTCGATAAAAATATTATGATGGAGAAAAAGACAGAAAACGGAAATAAATTTCGGTTTACCGAAATGTCATTTTGAAGAATCCGTTTAACTTGCATTGTATATAGTCAACGGTGCTATAACTTGTTTAACTTAAGTGGCTTCTCAATATTATTATAATATGTATATAGGATCCTCAATTTTTAAGCACCTGTAACCACAAAGCCACAAAGAGAAGACACTACATCCTTACATATATAATATAATACCGGTTGTTCCGATATCGAAATATATATCCTTCCGCATTATTCGAACTATCCGTGCGCGCACGTGCGCCTTTCACCACAAAAACCACAGAATTGACTTTGCCTCAACTATACCACACCTGGTTTACTCTTCCTCTCTTATTAAATCTTAGAAATTCATTTAACAATTATTATTATTATTATTCTTAATAAGAACGTTCTTAACGAGAAATTTCATCAACCATCTAATAAGTCTTGACTTAATGGTTTCTTTGAAAACCCTGTTAAGGGTTTGTGGGCAAAGGACGTTTTTTGTGGTTTCCTTCTCTGAAATAAACAATCATTTACAAATGATTAACAAATCCAAGTTTTACAAAAATTTTGTAAGCAGAACTGTGACTGTATTTTAAAACTTTTAACTTAAATTTCCCTCCTTAAACAAATTTTTTTTAAAAATTCAATCAAAATTTGAAATTTCTGATCGCACTATCAAAAACTGATCAAGTATAGTAGATCAACGGCACTAGGGCAATTGATATCGTACATATAGCAAACGTATATATACAAATCCTCTCTCTCTCTCTCTCTCTCTCTCTCTCTCTCTCTCTCTCTCTCTCTCTCTCTCTCTCTCTCTCTCTCTCTTGCTTTCTCTCTATCAATATTGAAGGCAAATCAAAACAGATCTTGAATCGTGATTTTGCGTCGATCAACGCGCAAAATGCAGCCACTTTACAAACGTACAGAGTGAACGCATCAATTTCGTCTGAATGTTGACTCAAAACGGGCAGCGCTAGCTAAACAAACATTCGTGTGTCCGTTGATTACATTATTCTCCTTTTGTGCGAATGTGAGTGAAATGGTGATATAGTAACTCGCAAACCTCTACTCTAATATACCTGAACGCGCGGTAGAAGTACATCAAATTGCACACAAATACTCTCTTGATCAAACAAGAAAATCTGGCATCTATCAAACTGTGTGCGCGCGCGAATTCTCTCTCTCTCTCATTCTCTCTCGTGGTTATCATTCATTCCCAAGAGAAATGCCGCCCGATTATATTTACACGAACTAGCCAAGTTTTCGAACAACCAAATAGTCCCGGGTATTTCTCTACTATTTACAAATGGTATACCAGCACTTTAATTAATTACCTGCCTACCTCCAATAATGTAATTATCGACGCTCTCGAACCCAATTTACAGAAGCAAAACTTTATATATACTAAAAGTAAAGAGCCACACCTATCTTCAATCAAACATTATATTATGTACTTTATAGATATTAAAAATTTGAAAAGACATGGTATATAATTGATAATTGGAAAAAGAATTATAAATTTTTTAATTGATCAGTACAGTGATATGAATCAATGTTAAATTAGTGATATTAATTATAAATGGGTAAATTTCAAACGTCGTATTTCACCACATTTCTAATACGCAACATTTGCTAACGTTGTAAGC